AAATTACGTGGTTTGTTTGTTTTGTTTTGTTTTTTTTTTTTACATATTTATGATCCACTCAGATTTCTCTGTACATTTTGTAAAACTCCTACATAAGGTGGGACTTCATTTGTCTTTGTGCTTCAGCAATAAGCTTGTTAAGGTTTCTTTAAATCTGGAATAACAGAGCTAGTCTAAAAAACAGAAAATCAAAATTTTTAGAATCTTACAACATTTTCACTGTATTCTTTACATGCTGCTTCTGGAAGTTTTAGTACTTGCTACCTGCCATTCTCCCACTGGAATTTTGTTCACAGATACTCTATGTATCTTATCATCTGCTTCTGTATTTCAGAAGAGCTAAATTTTTTTAAGTGCTGTTATGCTTTTACTGACTAAATTGTAGAAATGTATCCTTCATCTATCATAATGGTTCTTTTTCTTGTGGCTACTCTGTTTTTTTCAAATATTTACTCTTTTATGAACACTACAGTGCCAATAATTGCCAGGCTTTAAAATGAGCTGGATGCTCTATTTTTAGATATAGCAGTTCCCTTTGTTGTGTAGGTATTGTTGGAAAAAAAATCAGGTCGACCATGAGTGTGTTTAAATATGAATTTTGGTACACGTTATTAGATAGTTATTTGGAAAATGTTGTTTCTCCTACTGAATAATTCCATTAGCAGCCCAAAATATTTTTGGAGAAAGATTTAAAATGTGGAATAGAAAATGACCAGAGACACATGGTTAAAATTACTTTGCTTGAAGAGGGAAAATTAACCACTGACATAGGAGGGAAGGTAAGGTTGACACCAGAGCAGTGTTTTTTCAGAGGACGGTTATGTGAAAGGAGAGGATTTATGATACACGATCCATGACTGTGAACTAAAATTATCCTTAAACCATTTCATGTAAAACTCATTGTAGCGTTTGTGTTTAAGTTGGGGTGGGATTTTTTTCATTTGGGAGATGACAGACCTTGTAAGATGTGAGAAGTGTTCCAAAAATGGGGGCGGGAAGGTGCTGGTACAGAATAACTGGTTTGGAGAAAAGTGAGTGTCAGGAGTAGATTTAGGATTACACAGGTGAGAGATGTTTAGGAGCAGGCAAACAAGTGTGCTCAGTGATGTTAGGAAAACAAGTAATCTGTGAGGACTGGTTTTAGTGGACTTTATCAGGGTCTGAATCGGAGCTCTCTGAAGAGTTACCCTGAAAAAGGAGAAAAGAGAAGCTGCAGTCGTTGTTCTCACCTTATGTTAGAGATAAGGCTGGTAGACACAATCTTTCTCTCTGTTTGTATTAGCTCATTTCCCTCCATTAGTCACTTAGAACAGAAACACAGAGTCAAATATAGCCCGATTTTTTTGCAAGTGTGTTCCTGCTTGTTAAACTTGAGGATTGTTTTTCCCTTATATACATAATGACTTTCCCAAGGGCTAAAGTACACATCCAAATTGGATGCACTCTGTATACTCATCAAGAAATTTTGGCAAGAGGCCGCCTGGGAGTTGTCCATAGTTACTGGAGTTTCTGCATCTCAGATTCCACATTAATGCTTTCTGGGTATATCTCATCTTTGGGAGCCTGCAATGCCTGAGAAAACACATAATTTTGACAGAAATGTATTTTGTTTTCATTCTCAAGGAATAATTTGCAGACTTTCTCTGTCCCTTGTGTAGCATCTCATAATATTATGATGATTTGCTTTGAATGCTTTTCTGGAAATCTAGTGAAAAATGAGTCTAATTAAGAAAAAGTGTCAAGGAGAGAATATTGAGATACACTTAACATTCTTGGGTTTTGGTGTGATAACTTGACTATTTCTTAGGATGAAATAATTTTTATTTCATAACTTGACTGCAATCCAGTAACATAATACATTTGTAAAGTGATTTGCTAGAAAGTATTCATATATAGTGACTACAACTTTTAACTAATTTTATATATTTGCTTGAGCTCCTAATATTATACTTCATTATATACTGTGTTTAAATAGAATCTGATCTCTGACTGCTGGAGATCATAACTTGCAGTTCATTTATTCATTTATTGTTTGGAACGTGCTATGAATCCAAGTCTCAGCTTATAAAACAACAAATAAGTACAATATTCAGAGGAGATTCTCTATATTGTTACTAGCTGTTGATATTTTTGTAGACCAGTTTCAAGGGAAATAACATAGATTGTGTTATTAATTTAGATAAGCAAATTAATCAAAAGAGAAATAACCAGTTTAGAGGGGAATTATGCCAGATGCTTCAGGTTTAAGCAAATAAACACTTATTAAAACTGATGAAATAGGGAAACAACAAGAATGTCACAAATCAAATCAGCTTCATTTTTGCAAAGCCAGACCCCCTGTGTCTGAAAGGGTGAGGTGTTTGTTCTGAAATGGCTACAGAACAGCAGCAAGCAGTGCTCAAAGTAAACAGAGGTGTTCTGCTCTGCTCTGCTAATTCAAGGAAAGAATCCTGCTGTGCTAACAACAGTTCCAGGTGAAGAACGTATTTCTAACCCAAGGCACCAAACATCTTATGGACAATTGGAACAAGTGAAATCTGATTGTCTTTCCAAAGTCTGTCTGCCAAATAAATGACCAATGTCAGCCCTTGCATCACTGGTCTTCCTCCATAACACTTGCTTTATAAATTCTACTTTTTGTTCAGTTGGGTTGCTATGGTGTTACCGTAGGACCAAACAACAAATTTAGAAAACATAATTATGAACTACTGCTGGGATCTGAGGTGTTGATAGTTTTGTTTTATGGCTATTGGAACTAGAATGCAGCACCTTGTTTCTGTATCTGCTGTGAAGTTCTCGTGTCTGATTTGTTTTTCTTTTTCTATAGGCTAACTGAGGTTTTTAATTGGAACTAATATGAACTTTCTCAGGGTTCACATCATACTTGTTTTATCGAATTTCAAAATTTTTGGTTATGGAAAAAAAAATCCTTTTCCTCATGGTTTTATCTGAAATAGTTGAAAAATATCATAAAAGCATTCTTCACTTCTGTCCTCAGAATTGTAGCAGACCATGAATCTTCTATGATAGAAATAATTTTAAATAATTTTTGCCATGAAATAGAGGACAATCAATTAATAGCACTGTTTTAGTCAATACTTCAGTGCAGAGGTTTCTTTCAGTATTAGTAAATGAGCTGTAGGTTTTTTGAAGAATCCAGAATTTAAGGAGTTTTTATTATTTTACTGTAGTAATTAACAAAATGAAATATCAGTTCATAGAAAAAAATAGTGCTTTTATTTGTTGTTTTGATGGGCCTTTTTTCTTTTTTTATCTGAACACTGTGATTATGAAAATAGGACTCCATACGTTTATCCCAGCATTAAATTTTTTCTTTTTTTTATGAAAATATGTATAGACAAATAAAGGGAAGATGCAAAGACCTCAAACTTGAGGATTTTAAAACTCTATTTCTGTTTTCCCAGAGTTCTAAAGGACATTATAGTCTCATTAACTTTTTCTTTATTTTTTTTTTCTTGAGACTTTGAAGCACATTTCTTTGTTACAACTGTCAGCTGTATTTTTCTTGCAGAATGGATGATAAATGACACCTTATTGCTCTGTGGTCAGTGCTACTACCAAAAGACATTCAGATGGGGAGGGAAGCCACACATTTGAAAGATTTTTTTTCTGCTGGATTTTTTTGTCATAATCCTGCCCCCACCACCCCCAAAAGAAAAAACAAATCACTGAAATATGATATATTCTAGTCATGATGCTTTGGCATGTCTAATGTCAAAATTGCTGTTCATTTCAGAAAGAGCAAGACTCTGTTATGGTGAAATTCCAACCCATATAGCGAGAAATGAAGGAAAGATGGAGGTAAGAAAAGAACCAGATATTATAGCTCCACACCTACAGGAGATTCTATTTATGTTTTTCTACTTCAGGCTCAGAGAAACACAGAGAAGATGTATTTGATAGATTAAATATATTTCAGTAATTCTGAACAGCCTTTTAAAATTTATTTATTCTTACCTTCAGTTAAAGAGTCTTCATGTGTGTGCTTTTCTGTGTGTATGCTTTAGAATTAGGATTGAAAAAAAAACAATCCTCTCCCCTCTATTTCTTATTGAATGACATTTATTAGGGACATATACCTTAAGAAAAGGCTTACTTGAGCATCTTGGATTCATTTAAAATATAAACCTTTAAAAATGGCATTTAGTTCTTCTCCAGATATGTCTTATCTTCTTAAAATTTTATTCTTGTATGATCTACAAAAATACCTTTTTTTTTGTAATATATTTTCTTCTCTTGGCTTTGATAATATGTGATGCAAATAAAGCAATTTCTGCTGACATTATCTAGGTTAGAAAACTGTGAATTTTCTCAAAACACATTGCACTCTCCCTTATGTCTAACAGGCTCCATATGTTGATGTTCTCAGGGCTGACTGGGGAAAAAAGCGCTTCCTTTTCTGCAAAAAGACTGAGTTTTGGAGAAAAAGTAATTCTTCCAGTAATTCCTTCTCTGTTTCAATGGCAAAGTATAAAAGAGTGATCTAGGGTATGAAAAACCAAGGCTGGTTTATTTGGCCTGCAGATGCAGTTTCCTCTTTAAGCTGTTGTTTTAAGTATCTTTTGGGGCAAGGCACCTGACACTGCAGATGGATTTGGAGCCGAGGCAGTGTAAGAATTCACTGTGCCTGAAGAGGCACAAACCTTGCTCTTGCCCATCCCTTCCCCATCGCTGGCACTGCTGGTTGCCCGGCCCATTCCTGCCCCTCTCAGGGTGCCAACCAGAACCAAACTGCTTTTTCTTTGTTCACCTGTCTGCTGATTCAGCAAAACACTCTGCCTTGCCAAGAGAGTGGCTGAGTCGCAGAGATAACTGAAGGAAAAGAGAAACACACGTGGGGTGAGTCCGATTTACTGAGCTGGTTTTGGAGAGCCATGCCTGCCTTCTATATTGCTGGTTAGTGTTTTCTTCCCTTCCCCCCCCCCTACCCAACAGGTAAGATGAGCACATTCAGATTCCATCTGTGCCTGTTTTAAGATCCAGCTTAACCCTGTATCACAAGGCTGCTCTCTGGCAAGTTTGTTCTCTTTCATTTTCACGTAGAAAAAAATATAGTTCTATTTTCTCCCATGGGAATGTTTCTAGAAAGAAAAAAACAAAACCAAAATGAACTGGAATATTTTTTTGTTTGCTGTTGGTTTAGATCACCATTCTTTTTTTGGCCAAATCACCACGGAACAGGGACTAGCTACAGACAAAGTTGTTTTCCTGGTCTGGGGAAAGGTGGATGTATCTGCTCAGTGCTTTGTGCAATATTCGAAGAACTAGCTCTTGTCATGATCTCTTTTACTTTGCATTTATAGGATTCACTATAAATACTGCCTGAATATCAGAATCACTTCTGTATTTGGTGGCTTATCACTTGCTTTTGGAAAATTCTGGTTTATGAACCCGCACATTCCCTAACGAGTTGTATTATGAGTGGAAAGATCTATTAACGGGAACACTATAAAATATTGTACCTGTTCTTGCAAAAGTCACTATACCTATGATAAACACTGCAATTCTGCTTTTTTAACAATGGTACTTGAGAAATATCACAAATCCTTGTGTGAGTGTGTATACACTGTGGTAATATTATGTTCTTTTTTATTTTAATATATCTCTTGATTGAACTCTGCTCCTGAATTCTACCCGAAGACTTTTCATCTCTCTTATAATAAGATAGAGGAGGTTGGGCTTGGGAAAGAAAGAAGTTGGACAGCCATCTTATTTTGATTGTCAAAAGTAATGTAATTAACACTGGGTAAACGGTTTTTGTGCTTTTGTTTTTGTGCTTTACTACATAGTAAGTAATTGCACCTGACAAATAGAGAAAGTACAATTGCAGATCTCATGCACATATAACCTACAGTAAACATTTATCACACAGAACATTTAAAGTTTTGCTGTACTGGTAACAGTGATTTGTAATGCTTTTTATTCTCTCCCTTAAAAAGAACAAACAAAAAACCCAACTTGGTTTGTTTTTTATTGCACTATGAACTAAAAAAGATCTTGTTTCCTCTGGAGACCATGAGAAGCTGCATATCATTGCAGGAGGGAATTATTTTTACATACCAATCTCTTAGTTAGGATATATAATACACCATTTTACCTAAATCCAGGAGTTGCTAATACTTCTTATATTGCAACAACTGAGATCATCTGTCACTGGTTTATTACCAGATCTGTGAATCACTGGACCGCAGCTGTAGCTTACAATATCACTTTTCAGTGATTAACAGGTCTTACAGCAAGCTTTTTCATTGCATTTTACAAAACCTGTGGGTTGCTGTAGAAATTATTGCCTGTTGAGGCAGTACATATTTGTGCATTACAGAGAGTGCGAAGAATATCAGCTACTAGATGTTCACTTTTTCAGCATTCTGAAAATAAACCTGACTTCTTCATCAGTGTACCATGTCAAGGAAGCCTATTACATTAAGTTTGATAAATAAACAGCATTAAAGATTGCACTGCCTGTGTAACAGGCTTGTTTGACAGTGAAAGATTTTAAAATGCCTACTTCATACAGAAAAAAAATGAATACAAGCCCATTTTATGTGCCAAATGACAAACTATAATGATTAATAGACCTATTTAAATGAATAATTGTCCTATATACGATACCAGCTTATGTTGTACAATAGCTGTATATGCAGCAGCTGGCAAACCTCTTCTAGAGATGTAAAATATGAGAATTGGTAAAGATAACAAATAACAGCTGAGCCAGGCCAAGCTAAGACTAAGCCTCCACTGCATTTCCAATGACCTCAGTGGAATCCAGAGAACTTAATTGGCATCTCAAGGTTTCATACGCCCTTCTCCTAACTTTATTTCCAAATCTTCCATGAATCACTCTACTATACAATATCATGTTTCAAAGATCAAAATTAATCCCAGTGAAAAAAACGTATAGCCAAATTTTCTTTGTTCTATGTAAGATCAGTGATCTGATTCTATTTTTGCTTAATAAAGGAGGAATCAACGTGGCCAGTATGGTTGTAGCAGAGTTGGAGTTCACAATACACACTTTCTTTCCTATTTCACTCTCCACTTCTCCAGCACTGAGACAAGAATTGCTCACTTACTGTGGAGGTGATTGTCACAGGGCAGGAGGGGTCATCAGTGAGCAGTGACATAGCAAACAGGTCTGTGTTTAGCCAGGTTTGGTGAGAGTGAACTCAGCACAGCCACGTCCAGGCAGGTGTCTGCAAAACTCTTCAGTTTTGCACTGTAGGTCTCTCCATCCTCAGTTACAACACGTGTTCTACCTGATGCATTTTACAGAATGGCTATAGACCTTCCCAAAGGTTCTTTAGTATTTTTGTTGGCTTTTTATTAAGTTTGTTGGTTTTCTCTCACAAATTTAGTCTGACAAAAAGCTATATTTTATATATATATATACACACACGCACACACATATATATATATATATATGCTGTATTTTAAAAACAAAACTTACATGGCTCAGGCCTTTTCTGAAGGAACATTTGTGACTGACCAGATTGTGAAGAAGCACAGTCTCTAGTCAGCTGTTCACCTAGAGCAGAATCAAGCAAGGTCATAGTCAGTATAATTGTTGTGTTCTTCCTTTGCCTGGTCTACAGCCAAAGCTCCAGAATCCTTGACCCTTTCACCCAACCCTTATAGGTGTGACCCATTTCAGTGAGCCAGGGCTCCTCTGGCATCACACATCTCTTCTAGGAGTTACAACCTAGGCATTCAGAAAGCGCTGAATTGTGATTTTGTCCCATGACTTCAGGACTTGTATCAGTGTCCTCTTGGGTTGTTTTCCTTCTTACCAGTGAGAATCTATATTGTGTGGTGGGGTGTTTATCGTTTGCATGACTTACTGTCTCTGAGAAGTTTTAAGTATGTGAAAAAATAATTCAGCACCCTGATAAAAGTTTACCTTTGAGCTTTTGTAGCCTCTGAGAGAGCTCAGCAGACTGTCGTGCCTTGTTTTTGCGAGACTGTCTTTTGTGTAGGTTGAAGTGGCCATGTTTTAGTGACTCACTGTTAGATAATCTTACAAAACTATTTCCATAACCCAGTCAGGTCATTGGAACTTTTAACTTATTGTTTACTTACTTCATTTGAAATTGTAGCTGATTTTAAAAATTTTCTTTTTTAATCTTTTTCGATATGCTTTTTTTTCCCCCAATGCATCTTTTCTTCCTTTTAAAATTACATTCTTTGAGGATCAGCTACCAATGTTAATTTTCCCTATTTGGAGGAATCGTTTGGGCTTTTTTCTTCCCCTTACTAACTTGGAAGCAGAGGTCTGCACTTCCAGGTCAAAACTTTAGTGAACTGAGGTTGTATGTCTTGAATTCGTAGTTGTTTGTGGAGAGTATTATACAGGCTTAGCTGCATGCATTAACCCAAACTTAGTTTATGTAACATCAGTGTCCCCCAGCGTGAGACCAATATGTTAAGAGAAGTATAATACCTTTTGGGATGTTTCTATATCAGCGCTGGGAGGTGTGGGGGGTCAGCTTTGGCTAACAGCCAGCCACTCACTCGTCCTGTGGGGTGGTGGTCAAAACACGGTGGGAAAGCTCAGGAGATAAGACAGGAGATGGTTTGCCAACTACTGTTGTTGGGCAAAACAAACTCACCCTGGGGAAAAATCAGGTTTTTTGTAATTTAAAATAGATTGCATAGTAAGAATGAAAAATACAGATCTTAAAACACCTTTCCTCCATATCTTTTCCTTCACTCCTTCACCTAGTCTCCTCTACCCCCACCCCAAGATTAAAGTTTGTTTACTTACATATAAGTCTTTTAAGCATATAAAATAGGTGCCATTTTTTTTGTGACTACAGTGATTTTTACTAGAGAGACTTCAATGGAATTTAGTAGCATATGAAGCTTATCACAGAGAAATGTTAGCAGATACAGGTTCTAACCCTCCCTCAATCATTGCAAAACTGGTACTATTTCACTTCATATGTTGCAAGCTATTGGATTGTTTTAATAATTAATTGCTTTCTACATTGTTTGAGTTAGAGAGAAAGTGAGAATGAGTTTATAATGTTATGAGACTCTCCTTGGAATCCATGCCAAAGTCTGTACTCTTACTATTACAGAACTACAGAAACAGGTAGTAGAATCTGAGCCTCTGAACTGTTTAAAAGGAACAAGTAAATCTTTTTAAATGCATGTCTATTTTAAACTCACTAATGAAATCAATGTTTTCTTAGGGCTTAACTCAAAATCCATGAAATTGATGTGAGGATTTCCAGGTTTAGGCTAAGGTCACAATCATACAGTTGTGATAAGCAACCCCCAAATAACCCTGTTATGTTCTTGGTTTCACTTGTATAAAGTAAAACTATCATAAGTACATTTAGTATCTCTAAAAATACTTTCAAAGGCAACTTGCTGAGAAGGGTTGTAAAACCTAAAGCAAAGAGAAAAAGAATAACAGTAAATGGCCAGTGAGCCTGCAGTGCCCTTACAGAATATCTTTTCTATCGTTCAAAAGCACCTTTTCATTCTTTGAGGCCTTCTGGCAACAACAACAAAGACAACGAGAAAATAATCTTCAGGTAACTTGTCCCTGAGGCAATACAGAGTGCTGTCTGCAGAAGGAAATGAAATAGCTTTCTTAAAATGTTTTGTTTCAAAAACATACTTATAACTCGTAAGTGCGTGGCCCAGCACACACAGTGTACTGCAAACAGCACAGGCTCTTTCATCCATCTTGATGCTATTGCCCTTTCAGGTTTGCAAGGATTGATGAGATAGTGATAGCACAGCCCATCCAAGCCTTTCCTGTAGATTTGTAAACCTGCTGAAAACATACACTTTCATTCAGAGACAGAGCTAAACTTCCTCCTGCTTCTTTCCTACACTCACCTTTTCTTTCTGTCTAGTTTTATTTCATTTTAGCAAATTTTAGTGTGGTATAGGGAAGCTTGTCTTTCTTTTATCCACAAAGTGCATTGTTTTCATGTTTGTGCTGGTTTTTTGTCCCTTCTGAAAAACAAAACACTGAAGGATTTCCTGATTCAGTGAATGGAAGTGTGGAAATCTGTGTTGTGGGCTCACAAGAGGCATAATACAAAGGTTACCATAATAAAGATATATATGAGCTTGTAAGGGCTTCTCTTTCTTGATGTTACTTGCTCTGTTTGCGTTATATCAGAGTAGGGAAAAAGAATGCCCACATTTTGCATTAGGTTGTACTGTGCACTTAAGTAGAACATGTGTTATTTTAGCAGACATGTAGAAAGCAATACTGTTTTTCAGTGCTTGTAAAGGACATGTAATTTTTTTTTCTTAGACTCTTGCCATTTCATTTCAAGTACCATTCTCTTTGCTGAGGTGTGTCTAAAATGGCACTAGAAGATTTTATAGTTACTGTTTTACAGAGAAAATTTTGCTGATTTTGAATGTGCAATGAGTTTCAGTGTAATATGCAACTTTCCCTAAATGTGGGCTCTTAGGGTAAAGAAGGTTCTTCTGATGTGGTGAACCTGGTCAAACGATGGCAGCACTAATTCCCTGGTCCTCTCAGGTTGTTTTTACATTTAACAGCGATTCCAATTTAGTTCATGATTCTAACCTGATTTAAGATAATTAATTTAAAAAAATAGAATTGGAAGTGCCACACTTATGAAACTTGACAGATGCAGACAAATAGTTCTATTGCATAAGGGCATAAGCTTATGTTTTATATCAGTTTTCAGAGTTAGAATTACCCTTTGGTATTATCTGATGACCTTCTAAGGGTTTCCTGATCTCTCATGAACCTGTATATAATCTAATATATAACCTGTATATATCTATAATTTTTATATGGAGATGGAGTTGTTGAAAAAATATCAATTTACATTCAGTCAGGCCTGGAGAGGAAAAAAGAGTCCCTAGTCTCCTCCCTACCCTGTAGTTTACCTGTTAGTTGATGGTTGTGGACTCATAAAAGACAAAAGGATGGACAATTCTCTTGCTTTTTTCAAGGAGTAAGGTGTTATTTGATGAGAATTGGAGTAGAAAATTAAAAAAAAGTCATGAAAAAAGCAAAAAAATCAGAACACGCATTAAAAGACATGTTTCTAGGAATCAGACTGGTAACAGTGTGATTAAAATGGTGAAGGTCTGTGGTTTGTGGCAGTTTCCTTTTTATTAAACTAAAATGTAAATTTTTCAATTAGTGGGAAGAAAATGCAGAAAGGAGTTGGTAGTTCAGTCTATAAACTGAAACTTTTCAAGGTTGTGTCCAGGTATTCAAATCAATGCTTACAACAGATACAGCATGCAGCCTAGCAAAAATCAATAACATTAATAGATCATGTTACTGAAAGTTATGTGAATGCCAATTAAGTAAATAAATGAACACAATGAGATGTTGCCAATGAGAGATCTTGAGAGGAAATAAAAATGGCTGAGATGGGAGAATGTATGTTATAGGAAAAAGGCAAGAATTCAGTCACAAAGACAATGTCACACTGATTAATAATCAAGGCACACTTGGATAAAGAACATAGCAGAGATGACTAAAAATCTGCAGCCAAATCCAGTTTGCTGCAAAAGATATCTTCAGGAGTTAATTTATGCAGATGATTTATACTTGATTTCTTAAAGGACACGAAGTATTAAAAATTATTTACAGGATGACTATGACCTAGATTGTCATTGTGGAGAATGATAAGCAAAAAAAGTATTAATCTAGGAAGAAGGACATTTCACTCAGGCAAAAATACATACAATGCACAAGAGGTTCAGTTTAAAATATATCCCTGTGATGTTTCTGAGGGAAGTGGAAAAGGAGTGCTTGAAACTCGAACACCTCTGCCTTTGCTCCCTGCTAGATTTCACTTTGTTATCTAGAGATAGCATCTGTTTTGGCTGCAGCTTAGCCAGAGATATTCTAGGCTCTGCATCACCTGAGCACTTGTCAGGTGGAGAATGTCTCTGCCTGCTATATTAGTATTTGTTTGAATTTTTCTGACCATCATAATCCTTCTCTTAGTTTTTATGGTTCTACCTTCTGAATGCAGTTCCACAGATCTGTAGTGTAAAATCAGACGTGTGTGACTGAGCACTTCATGTTTTCCTAATCCTTTTTCTCTCTTTTTTTTTTTTTTTTCTTTTGGCATCTTCATTCCCTCTCTATTTAGTGGAGGCTTTATTTCTTGTGTGTTTGACCCAGATTCAGCAACCTAAGCAAATGTAATTCAGATCAATTACATTTTCCCCTTTCCTGTGGAGATGATTTTTTACCCATTTTTTCAGTGGTGACCAGTGGGTTAGGAGAGATTTTGCAGAGAAAGTTCAATAAGGTCTTACTTACTACTTTAAACTAAAGAGACTTTCTAATGAGCTGGCACCAGAAAGTTTGCCATGTCGAACAGCTTTCTCCATTTGCTGAACAAAATCTTGTCATTCAAATGTAAAACATAAAGTAGAACCTGGAATTTTGGAGTACCTAAACAACTTCCAAAAGAGTATTTGGGAAATGCTGCTTTGCAATCCAGTCACTTCTTAATTTTCTCACTAAAGTCTTTTGTTACTTGCTAAGTGTAGTATTTTTAGTTCACCTCTGGACCTATTCTCAAGTACAGTTTGTGTAATGTAAATATAAGTTAACAAAAGTACTTTGTTTTTGCTACTGTGATATAAGCCATACCTCTTTTGCTCTTCTAAATTGTGTGAGTTTTAACCAAATGTTGTAAAAAGGCCATGAGAAATACTTGACTTTGAGACCATATCAAATAAACCTATTGCAGTGTCCTGGTTTTCCATATAAGAGCTTATCTTTACATAGTGAAAAAAGTGTCTTAAATATCTTTATTTCCAGCAGTCTTATCATCCTTTAACTATTGGATCTCAGAATTCCTGACAGAATATCTAAGAGAATGTTCATTTCTGAGCATACATTTCATGTAATGAAAAGCAGTATATTCTTATGCTTTATAGGAAATCTGTCTCTCAGCAAGGCTGGAGAGACCTGGAAAGTTCCATCTGAGTGATCCAAAAGTAGCATTGAAAAGCTATTTTAGCTCTCCAAAAAGATGAAAGAGCTTTTTACTTGCTTCTTGCTAATATTATAATTTCAGAATGACAAGTGATTAAACCAGCATTGGACTGAGTGCCTCCCACAGTTTTTAACAGCATATCTGAACCATATGTAATACTTACTTCTGTACTCATCTCAATAAAGAAAGATGTTCGTTCTAAAAAAAGGGAATTTTGAAGGTTTGTGTGTGCAACTTGATGTGCCCAAAGGATACAGCAATTAGCTGTGCAGACATTGATAACATAGATCCCTTTACTCACAGCTATTTGAATGCCATTTAGTTAGAACAGATAAACAAAGATAATGATGAACTGTCAGATGAAGTGTTTAGAAGGGCAGGTAGTGTGACAGAAGATGACAAGGAAGGCAGGAAATGAGCTAAAGCAAAAGAGAAAAAAAAGGACTCATAAAAACCTCTAAATATACTGACACCAGCTGACTTTGAAGTACATTTTGAAGAGGAAGGTTGCACAATGAATATATGGAACAAAACCCACACAGGTTCTAAAAGCATTAAAATAGTATCTGAAATAAATTTCTGCCCCATTTTTAGAGGCTTAGCAGCCTCT